TACCTTCATGTTCCTGGCCGTAACTTGAAAGCAGACACCAAAATGCTGTGCCCTTAGCGCTGTCCTTTCATCTCTTCTGGCCTGGAGCAATAACACCATAGAATTTATATCTGTATCATTGTCCTTCTGTTCTGCTAATCTTCCTTAACAGGGCTGTAAATAACACCACTCAGATTCCCTTTCAAATAAAAAACTAACTGAAAAAAAGAGAGGGAAGATCTGCAAATAATTCCTGCCAAGGCCGTGACCCCTTCCATCTATCACAAGCAGAGCAGGTAGATAAGGAGGTTTGATATGAAAGCAACCATTCTGAGTGACTACATGTTAAATCAGCTTGTAGATGAAGCTTTGACAGGCACTGATATGAAGGGCTGGCAGAAGCCACATGAGGACTGTGTAGTACTTATCCATTATTTTCCTGTTTCCCCAGGGTTTTTGGAGAAAGGAGAAAAGATGAAAATCTTCCACCTCTGTAAGAAGTTCTTTAGTCCTTTCTGTCATGGCTGTGCAGCTCTTCCGAAGCATTGTAGTGTTCTCCAGCCATAATATTTCTCTCCACATAATCTTTTACTTCAGAAAAAAGACACTGGGTCATACAGCTAACAGCTGACAAGCTAAGTTTTCATTAATTATAATTTCAAGTATTATTTTGGACTTGCATCCAAGTATAAATGGCTAACATTTTATGCAGTTTCCATGTTAACAGATAATTAATGGCATATCTAATAAAACAAAGATAAAATTATTAAATTCATAAGGACATTTCTTTGATGTATAGTTCAAAACTTTCTATGCTTTTTTGTGATACTGCATTGAACCATTATGACCTTTACTACAGTCATCATCCCATTATAGAAATGAGCAAACATGGGTAGTAATAAAGAAAATTTCTTATCAACAAACCCTGCCACCCAGAAAAAAATGTCAGATTTTACATACTTTTCAAATTCATCTGTTTCAATCAGTTGAAAAGATCACACCTTTTAATCTTATAAATTGTGTCTTTGCAGAAAACGTCTGTGAAGAAAGTAATAGGTAGATTAAAAAAATAGGAAATATACATAAAAGAGTAATCTTAAAGTCTAAATCCACAATAGTAGCCCAAATGGAATATGCAAATGGAGTTTTAAACTTCCAGCATGACTACTTCCAGGCCTAATTTTAATTCAGCTCTTTAGAGTCAGAATATGTGAAGCAGAGTAAAATGTCAAATTTTAGGGCTGACTACTTTACCTGAATTATGACAAAGCAGGTAAGAATATTAAACTTCAAGTTTTTGTGCTGCTACACTAGTATGTTCATTCATGAAATCATACCCTGTCCTGCTGCTTGCTCAATTTGGGATTTATATCAGCAGTGCACTTTTAAAATGAATCTCCCACTCATTTCCAATTATTGTGCTTGATTTGATGTCATGAAGCAGTATCAGAAATTATGAAGTGGATTCTTTTTGCACTAGTTATGAATTGAAGGTGAGTACAATAGATGAAGTCCAACTGCTAATCAACATTCAGTCCACATAAGCTGATTATCAAGTAATCTGAGTAACCCACCTGAAACACACGTATTGTGGATGTTGCATTCTTGGCACCAACAGTTTTGCTCTGCAAGTCTTCTCCTCTGGGGCTGTACTACTAGCTTACGCAGACTCACTTCAATCTTCTGAGTTAGAACTTTGTCTTTTTGCAGTCAACCTGGTTCTTGGGATTTAATGATGAAAGTGGGTATACTCCCTTATAGTCCATGGCAGCTCAAGAGTGATGCTCAAAGAAATGTAGAAAATAACAAGAAGCCTAGGTGCATTATAGAATGGGATAAGAAAACCCCAGCAACAGTGTATATTTTTCTCTTTTTTTTTTTACACAGAACTCATTTTTGGTCTGACTTGAACAACCTTAAAAAATTGCACAAGTTGTAAAGTTAGAAATAAAGGCCCATATGTGTGTTGCATGGGTTCAATATCACAGTATTTTGAGTGTTATTAGGAAAGGAATGAGACTACATCCTGAATTCTTTAATTTAAAAAAATAAGTGAATCCTATATTTAGTACTTTAATGTAACCTTTTTTTTTAAAACATGTAAACATGTAGTCCCATGAATTTACATCTGTTAATTACCTTTTAATAAACATAATATTTACATGTATCATATAAAACAAAGAAAAAAGCTATATGGTGTAGATATACACCAAATAACTCACTCAGACTAACATACAAAGTTGGGTTCTTGGCTGAATTAGAGAGATATACTATTTGTGTCTAACCTCTTTCTTCTTTTGTGGCTTTTTTATTCTGTGTTGAATTGCAACATCATCTTTGAAGATATTATTGCTGGAATTAATTACTTTGCCATATATCAGAAGACTGGCATCCTGAAATTTGTTACATCAAAGGATATTGACTGAGAAGACAAATAATTAAATGAGCCGTAACACAGGTAAATGATACTCCTGGGATCAAAGGGATCCCCTATAAATACTATGTGCTGCTCTGTTCTACCAGTCATAGAAAATGTCATTTGGTTGCAAAGGCTATAGTGAGGTGGCTTTTGTCAGTCTTTCAAAGTGAAGTGTTTCCAAACAGGATCTTCCTGTTTATTTTCCCTATTTGCTAATTATTCAGAAAATACTAAGATGAATTTGAGACTTGGTCAAGTGTCAATTTGTATGACATGGGTATGTTAGTACTTGTGGGCCAGACTTCTGAACCACTTCCAAGTGAAAGAGAGGACAGTCACCAGTAGTCTGTAATGGAAAAGGATGGAGATGGCTGACTAAGAATTATCTGGTGCAAGAAAATAGCATGCAAATGGTATTACCTTTAAGTCTTATATTAAACCAAGACCACTATTTTTAGTCTTCTTTGAAAGTGAGTTAAGCTTAAGATGTAAAATTTTCCCTTCTTTTAGTGCATAGGTGCCCATGTAGAAAGTTAGTGTAGAGCAGCTAGTGTAGCTGTCCCTTAGACTGTAAGAGCTTGGCTGCATAGAAATGCTGTGATGTGCCTTCTTTAAGTATGTTTTCCTAAGAATCATGGTTATGCCTGTCAGTGCCTCTGTCCTCTCTTTCTTTACTCATTCCTTTCTTTTTTTTGAATATAAAGACCCTATTCAGCTGTCAGGGTTAATACTTTACGTATCATTAGCTTTGAACTAGGTTGCATATTTCACTGTGGTGCAAATAAATCATAAAACTAAAAATAAAATATTACTAAATGACTCAGTACCAATAATCAAAACCTATACATGTTGCCTGAAAATATAAAAATATTTCCATTCAAAATGAAATGGAAGATCTATGAAATACTTTCTATTATAGTAAAACATATATTCAGATGTACATATAAATAATAATCTCATATGGATTTCAACTGTTAATCTACTATATAAAAGTTCTATACTGCTGCAATGATAATCTGGTATGATTAATTCTTTACATGATTTCATGTAAAATAATTGCTCACGCAACTTTTTTTATTTTTCTTTCTTAGTGTTTTTTATTACCTCATTAAAGTTAATGACTTAGATCCACCTTTTTGGTAAGGTACTTTCTATTGCTTTCTAAAATTAACTTTCTCAACTAACAGTACTGTTTCTTTTCTGCTTCTTACTGTTAATAACCTAATAAAGCTTAATAAGGAGGACAGCAGTCAGAAGGAACTATTTGTGTCAGTCAGTGCAGAAATAGTACACTTCATGAGTAGAACTAAGGAGTAATAACCACTAAGTCTCAGAACAAGAAAATATTTACTTCATGTCTATGGTATGTATTGGAAAGGATTACTTCCCTTATGAGGAATTCACTCTTATGGGAATTTTTAATAAAAAATTAATTAACTTCAGTCCTGAGGATGTGGCCATTAAGCTGAACAAGTCACTTCCAAAACTGCAGGTTCTCTTCCCTAACGCGTGACGTGAATAGGAATGGGCTAGTAAGTCTAAGTTGTTCCCTGAATTCAACTGTAAAAATCTTCCTGACTTCAACAAAACTGGATTTACATCCTTTGAAAGACTTGTCTCATACCAGGATCTTTACTTGGGTCCTCTACAGCTGAAAAACTTTACCATATGTCACAGAATTAATGGTATTAATACGGCAGGAGAAGGAGGATACTCAGGAGGGGCTGAAATTACCTGCAGGAAAATGTACAGCTGTTCAAGGTGGTAGGTCAAGGTGTTGCTCTCTTACAGAATGTAATAGAGTATAATGAAAAAAATATCTTTGAATTGTGCATAATAACAGAAGGCAGCACAGAATTTTAGTCCAGTAGTGTGTAACTGTATGCTCCTAGTAAAAGGCCTTCTGCCTCTTTAACTGTGTGTGCATAGCTGCTTCCTGTTTCTTAACAGTTAGGTAAGTAATTAGGTGAGGATTCTATGATACCTTCAATGTTCCAGTGTTTATACCTACAAATCATTAAAATTAGGTTTGTTGTGACTGGGCAATAACATAAGAAGTGATTTTATCTCTGTATAGTGGTATCTGCCAATATGTCTGAGAAAGATTCAGTCTTTGCCTGTACAAGAATGCTAAGTTGATTTACTATGGAATATTTTTAAAGTAATACAACTCCTTTGTAGATATTCTTATTTCGCAGTAGTTCAGCTTAAACAGTTTTGCAATCAAATTCTTAACTAAGAAAGTATATGGTGATCTGTTCAGAGGATCTCCTCAAGCGGACAGAAATTTCTTTCTAGTATTTATTGTTAGTTTTTGTCTTAAGAGAGCCTTCAAGACAAAGTTGAAAAACGTCTCTGCCTAATGACAGCTTCTGTTTGCAATAGTAATTTAGTAATAAGAACACAGTATTTTTTTACGCGTACACCTCTTTTCATTGTAAGGCAACATTTTACTGCCTATACCAGAATGACCTGGTTCTCAGTCCTATTGTACTCTTCCCTTTCAAAGTGGGATTTTAAATCTTCTTAAAGATATGACTCACTTAGCAAGGAAAGTAGGACATAGGTTGCTGAAAATATGGATCAAGAAGGTACACATAGATTTTTTTTTTTTTTTAATACTGTAATTTAATTAGTACACATGACATTTTTCAATATACGTACTGTGCTGGGAGGTTGGTTCTGTATATCTTCTATTAATTGAGAAACTGGAAAGTTCACTTTAGTTTTGGTTAGAATGTATACAAAAACTTGGACTGTAGCTGCCAAGAAGGATTGAATGTTCATGCCTGATCTGGCTGTTCCAAGGCACAATTCTGAGTTAAGTGCTCTCGTATCTTTAAGTCAACACCTAATATTTTTTTTCCTTGCTGTGTCTCCCTATAAACATGAGTTATTTCGGACGAGAATTTTGGATGAGGAACAGAGTTTTCAATCAAAATGACTGCTTTGTATATTAAATGTAATCAAAACAATAATTTAAAAAATAATTAAATTAATTAAAACCCAAAGAAACAAAGTTTATGATGAAACACAATTTCCTGTTACTTTTAAATAAAAAGTGTTAGAATAGAATGACTTGTAAACAGCTCATGAAACCACAAATGTCTAGTAGAGCATTTTCTCATAGAAAGCTTTGTTTACATAGAGATCTTCCATTAAATGTTTTTATATGACACTTGAAGTTAAAACCAATTATTTCTTCTGTTATATGTTCTTTAGTTACTGAAGTAGAATTGGCTTGAAGGAAATTATTAAAGTAGTGGGCATTTAAAACATCATTCAGTCTGTGGGTGGTTTATTCACTATGGTGTATATGTTCTCTGAACACAAATTTGCAAAAATAATTTGGTGTTTAAGCAAGGCAGAAGGTATTTATAGCAAACACTATTTCAATAATTTTTAAATTTTGCTAGTTTTTAAGCTTCACATATTATTTTTTCACTAGTTTGACTGTGATTTCAATACGTTTAATGAGCTCTAGGAAGGTTAAACCAAAAACCAAACAAACAAGGAAAGAAAATAAACCTGAACTTGTCTTATCAATAGTATGTACACTAAGAGTAACAGTTTCAGGGATTTTTATTACCAAGCCATTTAAAACAATGTAAGACTTTTTTTTTAATTTTATTTGAGAAAACTTTGCTAGAATAAAATTAAGTGGTTTATTATTTAATCTGTATTTAAAGTATAGAAAAAAATTTTAATACAAAGCTCTGTGAGCCACTTCCCTTGAAAGGCAACAGCTACCAATGAAGTCCTGCACCACAGACATTTCCATGTGCAAGACCAAACTGGACTCTTCTGAATGGTGGTTTTCTTTCAGTTCAGAGTTAAACAGGTGCTGTCTGCTGAGGGTCTTTTTCTTCCCTAGAAGCAGGATGTGACCAATCACTTTTTAACTCACTAAGAATAGGGAACTGGAATGCAGCTGTCCATGAGACACCACTCCCGAGCTCTTACTATCTTGCCTTTGCAGGTTTCTGAACCAAGCTGCAGGAACTCAGTGTCAAAGTCTATATGAGGCACAGGCTCCCACTGAGTTCCTACAAACAAAGCAGAATGTCTCCTGAACGTGTTGATATTTTCTGCTTATTATAAAAAGAGAAGAATTATATATTTTACTGTAGGAGGCTTTGACAAGGGCCAAACTGGACAAGTGTTCCTGGAATTGTCTACCATTACCAAAAAGCAATGGTAATTTAGATATCAGTTTTCATAGGGAATTGATTTGTTTTGGGAAAATAATTTTTGTGCTAGCACTGTATACATATCACACTTGGCTGACCAATAATGTAATGACAAAATATAGTATCCTTCCGACAAATGACTCTAGCATTTATTCAGTCGTGCATTAATATGCAGATTGATTGATTTTTAAATTAGTGGTTAATATCAAAAGAAGGTATTCTCTTTCCTGAAAAACACTGACAATCTGAAAGCAATACATCATAATTAGGCTTCTCAACAACTGCCATCTGAAGCTTTGTGATACAACAGGGTCAATTTCGTCATATTTTCACTCATGTTACTGTAGTGAGGAACAAAATTACTTCTTCCCTGTATATATTATTCCTTAAAGTCCATCCCAGAGCTCTTCCAGTAATCTCCTACTATGCCAAAGGGAGTCTTCTAACAATTAATCTATGAGCTACTTTGTCCTTCCCCTTGGCTTCTTTTTGCTTCTGGACAGAAGAGGCAATGTGGGTATTGAATTGGTAGTCGAGACCTAAGGAAATGGGTAGGATCCAAAAACCGGATAACTGGAGAAATCCTTTGTCTGTAAGGCAAGAAAGACCAGTTTCAACCTCAGGCTTAGAAGTTCAGCAGATCTTCCGGACTTAGGGGAGGAAGAGGTATTGATTGCTTAGCCATACTTGCTCTGTGAAGAAATTGAAGACTCCAGTACCAAGGCTGAGTGAGACATATTTGAAAAGCAGCAAATCAACCTGATTTTTGTAGAGCACACTATTTCTAAATATCTGAAATCAAAGGCAATATTGCATATAGATGCCATTACATTGGAGAAATAAAACAAAAAAAATTGCCTGGTACTTTTCAGTCATCCTCAGGAGCTTATTATGTTAATGTAACTAAATGACTATTATAACAATGCAGTCTTATTATATGAAAAAAATTATCTTCCTATGTTCTGTTGACTGAACAGATAGAAAAGTAAATACACAGCTGTTAAATATTCTTTATATATGACTGAAAAGTGGTGAAGAAACCAAACATAACTTCTGAATGCAGAGTTTCTCCTTTGAGAATTTAGAGCAGATGTGCTCTGTAAAATAAGCCCTGGTACTTTTATTAAGGCCATGAAGTGGGGTTGTAAAAAGGTGCTGAGGCAGCTTCATGGGTCGTGGTTCATTAACTCTAATTGTCACGTCTGGATTCCGTCTGATGGATGATCAGGTCCTTCCTTTCTCACATCCGTTTTCTCACTGTCTTCAGGTGACCAGCTTCCAGAACTGCCTCTTTCAGAAGTGTTTCCAACAGTGGACCTGGGTAGTATTCTAAACCACTTCAGTCATACTTGAACATTTCTTTTTCTTCTTGGATTTGCTCCTTTTCTTGTATCCTTCCTGTGCATAGTTTTCCTCTGGAGAGAATAAAACCATCATTAATGAAAACATTTTAGATTTTGGAGAGATTACGTTACATAAAAGTTTTCCTAATTGAGAAGACTTATTTTTGAAAGTAATAAAATTTTTACATAAATTAAAAAGAGAAAATGCAAAAGGTATATCAGCAGCAAGTGCCTTCTGATTTCAGGCTTGATATAAGGGAGTGAAGAAGCAATGTTTTACATACCGCCCACGTAAGACAACCATATAATTTATAGTGTGTGGCCATCTGTGTGTTTCCCAAGTTCTTGGGATTTTTATTAGAATTAACTGTGAACCAAAACCAGAATATTAACTCTACAGGCAGTGGAAAAGATGTGGAATAGGTAAAGAATGTTCCTCCCTTTATTTCAAGCTGCTTGTGACTGAAAGTTGTGTCATGATTGCTTGGAAGAAGAAGGAAATTTAAATAATTGAATTAATGGAATTATTAAAGTAATTAATGTTTTCAGACCAATGTCAAATAGCATTTCTCTTTTTAGCAGTGAATACATTTCATATGTGCATAGAACTACCTGTTTTCCCCACTAAAAATAGTTGAAAAAATTTCAGAGCTTGGAAATTTTTTAGCAAGTCTAATTCCAAAGCATAACTAAAACCTCACATCATTGTAGCAGAAGGAATAATCTTTCATTACCATGAGAGATTACAATTTGGTTGTTTTTTAGTGTGGTTTAAGTACTACTCTTTAAAGTAAGTAAAAAAAAAATTACATTTTTTTCAAATATTTATTTCATTAGTATGATTGGTAGTAGGGAATTTTTTGAAATCAAGAAAAGATCTGTAAATCTGAACACATTTTCTGAGTTTATAAAATCAAAGTCTAACATTCCATAAGTTTGTATTCAAACCATCTTTAGTTTTATCCCTGATATACTGTGCCAAAATAAAAAAATCAATAAACTCTAAGCATGTGAAACAGTTGCAACAGTTCACATGTAACTGGTTTTAAATTTATTGAGTTGTAGACCCTAAAGCTTTGAAAAAAATTCTCATAAATCCATTTTACCATTAAGTGCACACAGATAACTTTCTAGAACTTGCCAGCATTAAATATCTGTAAGTGTATTTATGTTTTCAATTTTTTTTGCCAAGTATATTCAAATTTTGTTAATGATTTTTTTCCTTCAGAATGCCACCATCAGGGGGTATGCATATCAGAATTGTCTGATAGTGATTTCTGAAAATCTTGTCAACATTTCTGTTTCTTTAAAAGTATTTCCAGTATTGTAAAATAGGAAGAAATATCACAAATAAACTGAGTATCCTACTTCCCACTTTTGTTAACTTGTTAAAAAGTTCACTTTAGTTATTGATAAATGCACTTCTATATAGCTATCTATATCATCTATGACTGTGTTATTCTATTTGTTTGAGTTTATTATATGAGCAGCGTTTTAATACTTTTAGTTATAAACCTAAAAAAATAAAATATGTATAACAAAATCAAACCAGAGTATCTTACCCCTGTTTCAATGTGCCTTGTTACTTTTATTAAAAGAGTCTTCCTATTTTGTAAAAAAAGCTTTATTTATTTAATTTTTTTGCAGCCTCCACTTTTTTATTATTTATTCTAGGTTGGGATCAAACTGATACTGGTTTAGCCATGGTACGGTAAGTTCATTAATCTTTAAGTCTGCAGTTTTCTCTATAGTGTCCATGTGCCTGAGAGCATTAATTAGACATGAGAACTGGTAGATTATTAAACAGCATCTCTGGTCTTTTATATCTCTGGTCTCATCCTACTTTTGTATTTTTATTGCCTGAAAATTGACTTTTCCCCTACATTTTATCTATAGATAAGGAGCTCACTGGCTTCATTTTCACATATCTTAACTTTGGTATGTTGTGGGCCTTTCTAATTTTCTTTAATAACAGAAGGAAGTGAGAGGAGCTTAAATGTATGTATAAACCATTTTTATGCAAAACTCTCACTTCTTCAGTCTCTAGTGTTAACTTAATTCTTTGGTTTCTACTTTTCCTTTGGGAAGCTCTACTACTTTCCTTCATTTTACAGTTTCATATGCATCCCAGTCCATCTTTTCAGATCTTTGACCTTTATTAGCTGTATAACATAGAATATAGTTTCTACTTTGATAGCATTCAAATCCTGAAATTCATCATTAGGGAGTTACTCCATTTCCAGCTCTTTTCTTTTGGACCACCACTAGTGGTTTTAAAATTGCAGTCTTTGCATAAGTTTGACATACTTTGATATCTGATCTATACAATCTACCATCAAAGAAAATGAGGCCAACATATATTTGACCTATTGCATAAATTTACAGCTAGGAAAAATATTGTATTCCCTCAGAAGGCTGCTGACGCCTTTAGATGTTGTGAAGTCTAGCTTGATTTTCTTTCTTTTCTTTTCTTTTTATGTTATTCCCTCATCTCCTTCTACTGCTCTGTACTTTCTCCATAACTGACTGGTCCTAAAGTCCTTACATGTCTGTGTTCTTACCTTTAAAATATGCACTTTTGGTTTTGCATCCCTCAAAAGTGCTGTTATCCAATTAAAATTGGATAACAAATTAAAATATTTGTCTAACTTGTTCTTTAATTATCCTGTCCTGTATTTGAGCTGTTATTAGACTGATGTCTCTGCTCTCTCCCTGATAACATAGCATTGTTCTCTCTTGTTTGTCTCATTTAAGCTAAGGCCTGTATCAAACACGGCTGATTTATGTTAGCATAACAAGTTCCAGATGAGCCATCCTACCTGTTCATATGGGTGTTCTTAACTTGTCCCACATGCAAGGAAAGTGCTGCTACTTTGCATCACAGTGAAAGAAGTTTTCAAGCCCCCTGTGTTTAAGATACATGAGTGTAAGTTCACACATAGCAGGAAGAGGAATGTAGACTGATTCTAGAGGGAGCAGGTAACAGAGAGTTACAGAAATGTAGAATGGAAGAGGGTGCTTGGGATTACCTAATTCTAATTTCTAATACCTTTGTAACTAAGTACCTCACAGTGTTTCAATTTTTTATAGATATTTTTGATATGAAGAGATTACTGAAAAACATGTATGTTTTTGCCTTAACTTTGCCCAATTTTGCCTTTCTACTGATGCCTTAAGCCCCTAATGTTTTTTTATTTCTTTTAATATTTGTAAGACTTGTAAGTTTTATAAGCAGTGAAAGTAGAAACCCTCTCTTCTTTGCCCTTGTTCCTTTCCCTTTTCCCTGTAGCACCCTTGTTTACACATTCCTTAACCCTCTTACCCCATTCTATGCTCCCCATATCAACCCTACTCCTGAATCCAATAGAAATGTTTAGTCTTTTGTCAAGGTTAGGCCTAGACAGTTGACAGAACAGCATATCTGGGCCTAAACCACAGAATGAAGTCAAGAATTAGATAACTATGTACCCTTTGTGCTCTGATGATGATGAAGATGGGATGAATGGAGGGTCCCGAAATGCACCCCAGACTCATTTTCAGGGGGTGGACCCCGGGGCGGTCCAGAGGAAAGGCCACAGGGTGGATACATCTGGGATTGGATGGATGATGTTATAAAATGTAACCTCTCGGGCACAGGGGTACGCGCGCGTCTGGTAACATCTTAGCCTTGGCAAATAAAACCCTTTCTTATCTCACCCCTAATTAACTGCTCCGGAGATTTTTTCAGCACCTAAATCCTACGGCAACACTACTTTTAATTCTGCCTCACTCAGGGCTAGTATTTTCTCTTTCTCCTGCCCCTCCTAACACATTAGGTTGTCTTATACTGAAATTACAATAACAATCTCTTAATATTGTTGGGTCTGGGTTTTTTTTAGAACTCTGTTATCTTCCCTCGGGTTGAAAAGCGTTTTTGAGAAGGTTTCTGGAAGTCAGAAACATCCTTTGTTTTGGAACAGGTAGTAAAGACATCTTCAGTTTAGAAGTTAATAGACTGTATTTTAGTGAAAGTTGCATGTAATTTAATCATAATGAGGACATATATGGATTTATTGACATTTTAAAATGTGTTTTTAAAATAATTTTTCTGCTTAACCTTAGGTATCATTCTTGTTTAGTAGTGAAATTATCTAGAGAAAGGGCGATTTTATTTTTAGTCAATGCACCAAAAACTTACCTTTGTTATAAACCAGAGGACAGATCTATGGCATTTTCACAGAAATCTACCTCCACCCTTTCTTCCCACTCTGTCATCCAAAAAACAGTATATATATCTGGAATTCAAGGCTATATAATGAAGAATACAGGGAACTAAAGAAAAAAAGTAAATTTGAAGTATGTTTCCAAGAGTCTAGCCAGGTCATGCAAAAGCCCATCTAAGGTCACTTGTCTATGTTTCTACATTTGCCTCTCTACTTCACAGGTGCAGTTCAGCACTGGCCTGATGGGAGTTGCCTGCAGTCTGTGGAGACAGAGGTAGTATGAGAGCTCAGGAGAACAGAAAGGAACATGAGAGCCAAGCAGAAGCATGGACTAATTTCAAATATCAGTCACATTCCAAGTGTTTCTAGGGACAAAATGAGTCTGAGTGCATGCTGATACATGTAGCTTTGCCATATCTTTAGTATTTTCTAGGGCACAAAGCCAGGAAAGATCCCTGAGATTGGTAAGCCCTTTTCTTTCTATATTCTTTTAGATATGAATTCTCCCGTACACAGAAAACTGGGAAGCCTCCATCCTACTCACAAAACATAGTCCTCAAAAAGTCTTTTCTAGACACCACTCACAGAGATGGGGTGCAAGAGTGTCATATTACTAAGGGGGAAAACAGAATTAGTAGATGGAGAGCAGGAGCTGGTGGAATAATCTTATTTATTGCCTTCTTCCAACCCAAACTGTTATTTTTTTACTCTGGGAAGGACTCCTTAACCTTGCTGGCACTTACTCTGATATATATATATCTCAGCAACATTTACCTCACAGGGAGAGGAAAATGGTTGTATACTTCTGAGTTTAGTAAGAAAGTCATCCAATCCATGAGTGTTACCCCACAATTCAAAAGCAATCCTATGACAGCAGTAAGGACTTAAAATAATATATGCTAATTCCTTAGGGATTCCTGGGAAAGTCTTAATGTTCACTCTAACTCCCACATCATCAGTTTGAAAACATAGGGTTGTTTTTTTTTCTTTCTTTTTTATCCTCCCCCCTAGAGCTTTTCAAAGGTAAATTATTTTCCCTGAGTTTTGCCACAAAAAGGAGTTATTAAACTTTAAAACCTATTTGTTGGGAGGACAGGGAGTGACTGGAAAGCACCCCGGTAATGTTTTTGTGTGTGGGAAGACTTGCTGTAGGCCTATTAGTTTTCTCCATAACTTTTAAGAGAAATATATATATGTGCAAATATATGTTGTACAGAGAAGAACAGAAAATATAAAAATACTCCCACAATAGCAACTTTATTTCTCTACCATTTTTAAATGCTTCATTTTAAATAATGAAATTTAGAACATAATTATAATATGGTCTCCCACTTTCAATGTCTTCAAATGGTTCAATGTTTGGGTTACTTAAATTTTGAGAATGTCCTATTCTTGTGTTGATCTCTATTAGGTGTAATACTGATCTTAAAATACATGTTACACCCCTCCTGCACAGTGGAGAACTGGCAGCAGCCATTGGAGCCTGTTTCATGATCTGGCCTTATGGACTCTCCTGAAAAGGGTATCTTCATTTGAAACGGGCCAGGATACAGTGGCTTTAAGCTGACTCATACCTCCAAAATCCTGTTTGGCTGGCTATGGTAGAAAAAGCATACTTTTCAATCTGCATGGTCACAAAGGCTCAGTCCTTCATGTATCAAGCAGACAGTAAATGCTAAGACTGGAGAGACAATGAAATTCAGAGCTGTGCTTGTAGCTCACATCTCTTACTGACTAACCACCCAGACACTTTCTCTTCTGTATAGGTAGTGAGGCACTGAGTTCAGGATATCCCAAGTCCTCACACTGGAAGAAGTCATTGAAAAACTCAAATACAGTGTTTAACACAGTCAGTTTGCCAACTCTACTTTCACAGAAGGCTGCTGTTTACCTTATGGTAGCTAGAGCTTTTTGAAATACCATTTTCATTATGTGAATCCCACAACTTACTCTTCATGAATATAGACAAAATCCTTCCAATTTCTGTGTTAGTGGCAGAGTTAAGGGCTTTGCACCAGTGAAAAGGGAGAAGGCAACAGGCTGCCTGTATGAAAGAAGGCATCTCAAAGAATTTAAGTAGTTTTAATATAAGTAAATTTTTTAAATAGTGGTTTAGTACAGCCAATCCTTCCTTTATTTCCACTATATGTATAGTTGTTTTTTGTTGGTTTTTTTTTGTAAAAAAAAATATAGAGAGAAATAAATTTTCTGGGGAAAAAAGAATTTCTTGCTGGTATCTTCCTTACTGTCCCACCATTTGGATTATGCTGTGTAAGTAGTGCAAAACAGTAAATTTCTTCGGCTGAAATTCAATTAGTGCATATGAAATCAAATTTCCCTGAGGCAAAACTATGCTAAGTAAATAGAAGTCCCTTGCATGCACCTGTGTTTGGAATAGCTTGTCACACTATGGAGATATGAGTGGCAAGACAGGCATTTTAATCTTCAGACTTGAGATTTCAGTTCTAACAGACACTGTTGAGAGCAAGGCTTCCAGGGAGTCATGTTTCTGTTCTTTGCAGGATCATTCTTCTCCAAGTAGCAGAGCTAGTGGCTCATGGTGACTAGACAACTCCCTCCAGTGGGAGATTTATTGCATAAACTCTACTTGGAACTGTTCTAATGACTGTCTCTCCTGGGCAGCAAATGCATCACAAGCCATTAATGTCTTGCTTCCTTTTACCTTTTTACTATAAATCTGTCATCTTTTATATTTCTTAGAACAAAACTCTGTAAAGCACATTGCACTTTTCTTCAAGAAGCTGTGGTTTGGTTCCTGAGAAGGATACAGATCAAACAGTGCAAGAAATTAAAGTCAAGGATTACCTGCTACACCCAAGAAAGAATCAAGACTGCTTCCTGACCATTATTCCTTATATAAGAGCAACAATGGCGCTGGAGCATGAAAATTGTGTTCCATATTCGTTGTGATAGTGGGTTTAGCCTCTTCTAAAAGGGTAGCAGGAAATAAATGCTGCTGCCTCCTTCAGAATGACACATGACTACAGATTCCCAGTTTCCATTCTTGTCAGCTTTTATAATCTGTGTCTTGTATCTCAGTTTGTGCCAGATGCTGGCCTGTAGGCCTCTAGCTGTAAAGAACAATATGTAATGCCAACAAAAAAAGGTTTTGTAACACATGCAATGAGTATATTCTTGATCTTACATCTAGGTTTTCTGTAGACTTCTGTACTGCTTCCAGTAGCTACTATTATGCATAGCATAATGATGCATGCCTTATTTTAAATTTTGTTTTCTGAATTAAATTTCCTTATGACTAATCTAGTGAAGCACTTCTGTATTTTTCTGTAGTGTCCTTCTACTTGTTCTGTGCCCTCCCTTAGGTATCTCAGTTGCCTCAATTACTGAATTAATACTCTTGGATCTCTTTTTTTTCTTTTGTCAGGTAGAAACAGACTTTTGAAGGAAGACATTGTGTTTACATTTCCATGGATTATTGCATTTTCCCAAAGATAGAATAATCTTATAGAACATGCCCTCATTTTGCTGAGGGAGGAAAACTCTGTTCCACTGAAGTGGTACACTGAGCATTGGCTTTTCAGCTGGCACAGGAACTGCTGCTTTGCACTATATGTTCTGCTATACAATGCCATGATAAAATACTGTAATACGATGTGAGATTGGGACAATTTCCTTCAAAAATTGCTTTAGAAGCTTGAGAAATACAGCATAATATTTCTGTTTCTCATTTTTCCTAATCTAAACAAATAACTGAAGGATACACGCTGTGTTCTGTGTTGTGGAAAAAGCAAAGACATGCAAGCTTACTGGCCACAAGAGAAAATAAAACAAGCACAGACATCCTCCCACAATTGTACAACTATCTCTACTTAAATAACTGAACTGAAATAACTGGATTATAAATTAGAATTCTTCTGTAGCCCTCCTTTTCTGTTCAGATAACATGTATGATGGAAATCAAAGGAAATTCCTTTCAGCTATGAGTAGAATGTACTGACCTAGGGCTGTATGAGCATGCTGAAAGAGCTATGAAGAACATCTCACCGAAATATCTGTTTCAGTTAGCTTTGTATTAAGACATGTTTCTAACAAGACAGCCATCAATGTTAGCACAAAGCGAGTATATGTTTTTTATTCCCCTGTTGCCACTGTATCTTAGGCAGCAGGCTTTCATACAGATTCCCCGCTTTCCAGGTTTTACTCTAAAGATTTTAAAAAACATTGTGGGAGAAGATATGAACATGGTTGAGACTCTGTTATTGCAGAAGGACATTGCTAAATTCAGGGGTTGTTTCACTAGCACAGTAAGTGGGATTTGTTCTCACAGCAGTTCTGTCCAAGATCATTGCATACAAGGTGCTTTGAATACTGGGAACATAAGAACCAGGCCTGATGAGGGCACACCAAGGTTTTTGATGGATTTGGTGCCAATGAGCTCTTACATCAAGAGTCTACTCTCATATAGTCCTCAGCATGAGACTTAGCTTTCTCTTTGCAGACTGAAAGTGTGGCTGTGGTGATAAAAACAGGACAGTGAGAAGTTCTCATGCAGTTTTGACGCTAAGGAGATGCTGTCAAAGCTACTCAGACTATACCTCTGTTGTAAGTTACTGTGGAAGCTGAGGGCAAGGAAGGATACCTAACCTTGTCTTTGCGCAATGGAAGGCATAAGTTTAAAATCAATATGATTTCATTAACTCCCCTTTTTAATCTCATAAAACACGCGTGTCAGTTAGAGACCAGCGAAACAATGTCTCATTTTCAAGTTCATGCCTATGCAAAATTTGTTAGTTGCCATGAGGACTGCATTCCTTATAGCACATGATTCCCCCATCCTCCTTGGAGCTGAGGAGTTGCTCAGCTTGTTCTTGCCGTGTCAATGCAACGGACTTCTCCCAGGGAAAACTGCTTGTGTCCACGCTGTCTCAGTGAGGTCAGTTCTCATGGCAACCACACTTTATCTGCAGAAATGTGCACTGTTTTTGAACAGTTTCCCCTTCTGCGTAGAAATGATGTAAAGTGCAAGGGAGCAGAAGAGCAAGAAAGAAAGCTAATTGACATGCAAGAAGCAAGCACTGCAACACTTCCTCATCTTTAATACTGATAGCTATTTTTTCACAAATTATTACAGCCCAAAGTTTTACAATATGACACAAATGTTAAGAGCATTCCATTGGGGTTGCTCAGTGACATGTCCATAAAATAAATATTTTTTTAATACAGAAGTCAAGTTAATGCAGGGTTCTTTACTGTCAGATATGGCAGAAACCAACAGCCTGTATTGCTGTGTACCTCAGGAGTTTATTTCAATCACTTTCTCCCTACCTCCTTTTGCTACTCAGAGGTTACTTACAGTGCTGATCTCGGTTGTGTGGCACAGCTCCATCTGAGTGAGCAGATCCAGCTGTAAAAGGTCTTGTTCCCATACCTTATCTCAATTTCTATGCTTGTGACTTTTATTGATGCCTTAACTGATTACTCTCTGCCCTTCGTATGCTATTCCTAAACCAGTGTCAGGTACTGTAAGTCTACCAGCAAGATAAATCACAAAACCTATAATTAGAATATTAGTTAGTAAAACCTGTAAAGTACTACATTTATTTTAAATTATTACCTTCTTTGTTGTCATGGGAGTCACTGTAGATAGAAGCCAGGGTAAACAAGGTGAAAATGACAAAAGCCAGCAAGATGAAAGCTAATTCAAGGTTTGTGAAGGGCAGATCCATGAACTGCTACTGCTTTGCCTAGGAAAAAGTGTAAACATTTACTTGCCGGACTGGATGTGGAAAGGGACTGCTCTCAATAGAGTAGTTAAATCTTTACTCAGGAGGATACTAGATCCTGGTCAAACTGGTTGAGTAACTTCAGCGGTTAAGAAGGAAACAATACTGCTGGCTCATACAAGAATTTAAGCTCAAGCTCTTTTTACTGAGGGCGCAGAATGTGCTGTTGCTCTGGGGGACATTTATAGCAGTTATTAAAGTAAAGCTGCACTTAACTGTATGTCCATATACTATATTTGACCTGTCCAAATATGTCTATATGCTATGTTTATTTTATATGTATTTGTGTACAATGCATTTAATAACAGGAATATGTTTGGACTCTGAGAGAGTAATAGAAAAACACTTATTGAAACAGAAAGTATCTGTAATGATCTGTAGGATAGCATAGATTTTCTTTATGGAAAAACTCTTAGATATAAAGAAATCTACATCCTGTTAGTGGAAAGTTTAAAACATATCAGAGAAAGCCTGAACATTACCACCAAATTACTAATCAAATCACAATAAATAGTCCAGGAATTCTGAAGTTAATGGAAATTGACAGTGTTAAATTGCCCACAGGATTTAGCTCTATAAAGCAGTCTCCCTGAAATCTTAAAACCAAGGAGTCCAATACATTTGTACAGAGTTTTGTGAAAGATCAGAAGCATATATATAAAAAAACCCCAACTTGTAGTAAATAAAGGGAAGCCAGCACTTACTGATTGCCAGGGAATTGCCTATATATTCCATTGAAATTTCTTCAAAATCATCCCAGTTCTATAAAATGGACTGAGTTAATTACTCGAAGCTGGAAGGATCTAACGTAATGTGATACCCTGATGCTTTTCAGTTGCTGCCTGGCTCGCAGCAGGCACAGTCCACATCAGGCCAGAGGGTGTGAAAGTGGCAGGAAAAGGCACAGCTCAACAGGTTTTTTTCTTGTACCTGCCTACAGGATGCTGGTGATGTGCACGCAAACTGAAGCAACAGAGGTTGTAACATTGCCATTGGGGCAGTCAAGACTGAGATTTGCACATTGTAAATCATGTTGAATTTTAAGCCCTAGTGAAATATTAACATGGTTGTAAACAAGACTAACAAGTATAAGAAAGAAACCCAGCTCAGTAAATGTAACAGCAAGAATTTTGAAATTCAGATACATACTGATGTAAGCAATAATTATTAGAATGATACAGCTGTGTCACTGAGAACCAAACCTGTATAGATGCAATTTATATGAAAAGAGATCCTTTTGAAGGACCCTACAGATTATGTTGTGAGGATTTTGTTTTCTATAGAGTCTTGGTTTGAAAAATACAAATACCCTTTATATAAACTAAAGCATCAGTCACTTCTGATTGCATTAGCTACATGTTAATTAAAGGGGATTTCTAAATTTTATTTTTTAATATTCTGATAATTCTGTTATTAAAAAATATAAAATATCTTGATGTTGCTATTTCTGATCTTTTGTGTAGCGATCTAAGCAGGAATATTTCCACCCCAGGCAAAGGATAGATGCTTATGAAACCACATGTCAATACACAGAAAAATAGAATACGTAAAATAGAATCTCCCCTAAATTAGGAGAGTGTGGAGATGATTTGAACTTTGTCACAACCAATGTGTCTTCTGCTGGATCATTTTTGCAACAAACATTTTATTAGTAGCTCTTATAAATCTCTCTTTATGTTTTCTAAGAGTAAAAACACAGTTACACATATCACAGCTTCATTCCCTATATGATGGATTAGTTACCCCAATAAACCAAAGAATCACCTATTCCAGTCAGAGGAACACTTTCACCTGTGTATCCATTGAAAAATATTTTATTGTCTGTATTTATACATGCTTGCTCTTTGCAACAGACAATATTTATGTATCTGCCTGAAGGTAAAAGTGAATTCAAAACTTACAGCTTTTCCTATAGACAGAGTTAAATTCTTCCACTATCCCTTATGTCAATAAAGCCACTGCATCATTCACATTCTGCTTAACTGATACAAATGAAGTTGTGTGCAGTTAAAGAAGGGACCTGTTTCCTGAAAACAGCTTACAGTTGATGAGAATTTTTGTTATTTTTTATTACTGGGTGTATGTGTGTAATATTTTCATTTATGTAAATGATTATTTTATCTATACTCTATTAAGTATCAATCAAAAAAACCTTAAACATTAGGCATAACAAGAAAAAATTAACCTGAACAGCCAGCAGTAAAAGAACTGATGGTTGATAATGCTTTTGAAAGCTGCTAAGTCCTATTGAAAGTGTTGGAATATAAGCTACTTCACCATCTAGCTTATCAAATTTTTTTTTCTTGTTGACAATATTGACCAGTTTCTGGCTACCATCCTTTTAAGAGCGGATACAAGAAGAGCCATCTAGTGCTGCTGAAGTATCACTATCATTAAACAGAAAGATAAACCATAAAGAGTAAAAAATATTTTTAAATTGTTAATTCTGAATATATGCTTATATATAAAGACTTGTCTAAATTAAGACAATACTTTTATGAGGAAAAATATGTAGCAATCAGAATAAAATTGTAAAAGTATTTGATATTAGAAATCACAGACCTTTGTAATTATTAGATTGCCATGTTTATCTATTTGTACATTGTCCATTGTACACTGAGAAAACACCACATCCTTCTTCCTGGTTTGATGGAGACATATTCAATGCAAATCAGAGTCCTCTGTCTGTGTTCTGCCCTTGTAACAAACAGAGAAAGTATGCAATATTTTTTAAAAATAGAAGATTTGTGCCCCATGTAGAGATCTTATTATTACTTTGGGAAGGCTTTAAAAGCAGACACAAATTCTGTCTAGGTATCTACAATGACACTAAAGAACATAGGGGTTTACCCCCTCCGATTTGTCTGTACTGTGGATGAGAAAGTCACATAATCCTTTTTGAGTACTTGAAACTACAAAACAAACTTGAATTGAAGGCTAAAATTCATGAGCCATTCAATTCCATATGTTTATGTTTCATTTGATCCAGGTAACTTTATGCAAGGCTAACATAAAAAAAATTGCTTACTAACCCTTTATTTTTGTGGTAAGAGGTGAATTTGTTTGATACAAATCTTTAAGTGCCTAAGCCAATCTAATGAGAGCCAGGAAACAAGTCCATAAGGGTTTCCTACCCATGCTTGTTACCTTGTTTTACCATGGAAAACAGGAATGCTGTCAATAGTCTCAGGAAAATCTGACAGTTAAACAGAACTATTAAGAATGGACACAAAAGCAAACTCTTTATTCAGCATCATCATATGGCAGGGTATCTTCATAGCAGCACTGGAGGTGCAGAATAGAGTTACACCTTCCAGTTCAAAAATGACTGGGAAGGTGTTAATAAGTAAACTCTCTTTCCCATGGGCTTCTAATACACCACCAGTTTACCTGGAAAACTGTAGGAACTCTCTTCTTACCCCCATAGGATGCATTTTCTTCTGCCAGTGTTACAGGGGCTATTTAGTATAAAGGTTATGTGAAAGCTTCACACTGCCTTGGAGGTTGGCAAGTCTGTTGTATTTTTTCAGGTGCGGCAGACCTTTGTTTTGGGAAAATGCCTTTTAAAAAATACCAGTATGTCAAAAATAACTGGAAACAAAACACGCCTTTTGAATACACATAACCTTTCAAAACATAGGTTGTTCACTAAGTTTTTAATACTATTCTCCATCAATGAAAGCAGATTGTTGTGAGGTGGCTAGAAACAAGAAAAAGCAGAATGTGCAGTTGTGGAAAGAGATGTGGTGGTCCCAAATAAAAACAAAGGTTGATACTCTTGTAGAGAAATCAGATTAGCCTTCACCATTACTATCTATTTGCAGGGATACAATTAAAATACTGTAAAATCTCCCAGAGATACAACTGATGACATTTTACTGGAAACTGATGAAACCTCAGATCTTTATGATGAATTCTGATAGCTTGGGAATCAGAATAACTTAGAAAAATATAGGGAAGGTCAAGAATATTTTTGAAGTGCTGTTAAAAGTTTTGCTGTAAATATACCCATAGAAACACTGTAAACCCAGATGGGACTTACAGAATATTTGGGTTTAGCCACAAAAAATGGTATGTCTCATGATTTATCAGTTTACTAGGTGGTTTACTAGAGTCAGCACCAGAGATGATGTTCAATGGTTTTGTAATTTTTCTTTGTCTTTCAATTAAATGTGTATGAAAATAGTTCAATGACCAGTTTCTGTGGACTTTTGTTTTCTAGCTGAAATTCTGGCCCCACTGGGATCTATAGAAAGCTGATCCATTACACTGGTGTGGCTTGGATTTCACTAACTCTGTAGAAAGTTCCTCCACAAATATGTTGACTTGTGTGGGATGACTGAGAAAATAAGAAACTAATTGTTAGATTGAAATGTATGTATTACGACCCTAGAAAAGATAAAAGAAAAACGTGAGACCAAAAAGAAATTAAAAATTCAGCATTTCTTCAAGTAGATCTTTCTCCAAGCAGAGCTTTTAACTTAAGAGGTTAGAAAAAGCAGAATGGAGATTAGAACAAGAACCTAGCAGAGCTGGACAGAATTAAATCCAAAATTCAAAAGTTTTAATTGTACTTATTTATTTATTTAATCTATACACTTTTTTCCTAGTCTAGGTTGCTTATTGTCAACAAAAAAAAAATAAATTTTTTTTCTATAGAAATGGTAAAGTAAAATTATAAGAAAAAAATTAATATGGGACAGGTAGAAAATATAAAGCAAAGATATTCTACATACCTACATGCCAGTTCCTGTCACTTGAAAGAATGTTGCCAGTGAAGTGGAAATATCCTTTATGATATTGCTTTTATTTAGTATATGTTTTCACTGTTTTTGCAAGGTACCTCCTTATATGCTGATGCTGATGTCACAGTTGCTGGTGATACTTCTGAAACTGAACTGTGGACATGGCCCTATACATAGTACACTTGGACCCAAAAAGTATCAGAAAAAAAAGAGGAAAAACATTATCTGAACTTTCTGCTTTAATTAAAATCCGGCTTTGCAACTGACAGAAATAATTTGATCTCATAAAAATGGTTGACCAGACCAAACAAAGCATAAGTCAAAAAGTGACTTATGAAAGTGACTTTGTGACTTTGTGTCTACAACTTCAATCCATTTATTGTTCCTATTGCTGACAACATGAGGTATCTACTTTACACAAGCCAAGCTAGGCAAATATGAGCTTTGTATGATATTAATTTTTTTTTTCTTAATGCAGAGGGACATATCATTGGTCTCAATCAAATTTCTACTTGTTTTCATTTCTTCATCCATCACATAATAAAATTATGCCACACTGCCATTTCTTGAGAAAGATTTATCATGCGAATGTGGTCTTCTTTGTTTTAAAGTAACAAATATATTAATGAGATAATAATATTCATATATCTAATGTATTTCTTTTATATAAACAAGTCCTTCTATTTTTATAACTAAAAAAAGACTAATGAGTCAAACAACATGTTAAAAGAAGTGTTCACACACTGGAGTGAATAGATACAAGGAAGACTCCACTAATACGGTTTTTGAAGCACCACTGCTAAAGGCATTAAATGATTTGTTAGTTGTTACGGTTTTTCTATTCTTTGCTGCTTTTAACTGTCATTCGGTTCTTGGGAGGTCTTGCAATTGTCTAAATATTGAAAAGCTAACTTCTATGCTATGATATTATCTCTTGTAAATTGGCATAATTTGCTAACTTAAAGCTGCTGAGACTCGGACGAGCTACTTCTTCAGTGATTTATGACTTGATGAGGTATGTGCTGTGGGAATAAAGGAGTTAATTTATTTAAATCTCCTCGATAATTTATGCAGCATATGCATGCTCCTACTCATTAGCTCAAGAGTAAACTGAAACTGAAAAAAAATTATGTCAAATACAGTAAAAAAGGTAAGAGAAGGGCTGTGGAAGAAACAGAAGAGAAGTACCAGTAGAAAAAAAGTTGCCAAAGGAATAAATGACAACATGTATAGTGTGTGTACAT